ATGTGTGCGTGTGTGTGACTGTCGTGTGTGTGCGTGCGTGCGTGCGTGCGTGCGTGCGTGCGTGTGTGTTATGTGTGTGTGTGTGTGTGTGTGTGTGTGTGTGTGTGTGTGTGTGTGTGATGCATGTGTGGTGTGCTGTGTGCGTGCGTGCGTACGTATCGTGCGTGCGTGTGTGTGTTGCGTGTGTTGTGTGTGTGGGGGGGGGCGTGCGTGCGTGTGTGGTGTGTGGGGGGGAGCGTGCGTGCGTGTGTGGTGTGTGTGTGTGTGTGTGTGTGTGTGATGTGGTGTGTAATGTGTGTGGGTGTGTGTGTGGTGTGTGTGTGCATGTAGTATGTGTGTGTGTGTGTGTGTGTGTGTGTGTGTGTGGGTGTGTGTGTGTGTGTGTGTGGGTGTGTGCGTGTGTGTGTGTGTGTGTGTGTGTGTGTGTGTCTGTGTGTCTGTGCGTGTATGTAAATACTTTATGCGTACGAGTTGTGATGCTACTAATTTAGGCTAAATACTCGCGCTTACTGTTTAGTGTTGCCACAGACCCAATCTGTGAAGAAAGCAGTCGTCTCGTTTTAGAATTTAGTAATAGTTAGTGGCATCGCTAAGTAGTTTAGTGAGAGTTTAGTTCTGCCGAAAACCGTGTAGGCTCTGCGGAGCAGGGTACATTAGGATGGATCTGCGGGCCGTAGCAAGCGATGGCGGCAGTGACCTCCTTCGTAACATCACATCGGCAGCATTGTGGCGCGGTGAAGGGGCGATCCTTATCCATTGAGAAAGCTGACACATGTCTCCTCGGGGAAAACATGCAGCATTTTAGCTATCCGGTTTGAGCCCACGTTGCACGACACCGATGCCAAACGAGAAGCCTGGAATCAAGTGAAGTGCATCTGATCGAGAAAGCACTCTTGGCCAGCGAATCTGTGACACGCTGACACGTGATAATTATAAGATAATGGCCACCATTCTTCTGTCGATAATGAATTGGGCCTGCCTGAACCTAGATCGGCACGGGTACAAGACTAGCCTGGAGCGGTGTCATACATGCCTGGCTGTGTTACCTTACCTACCCACTGATATCGGGGTCGAGTGTCGCGAAACATTGAGGCTGATAATTCGTATTCGTGTTCGTAACTTCTGTGAAAATACGTGACCAAATAGTTGGCACCGTTGGCGCACTTGGACCGTTTAAATAATAAAATGATCGTACATAAACACAACTTGGATTTACTACCATAATTGCGTATTTTCTATCGATTAGTAATTATTCCACTTAAATTCCGGCCAATTGCTGCCCTGCAACGTACAGGCCTCACTGCACGCCCGCCGGTGTGTAGAAACTCGCATTTTTCTTTCTTCTTTCTTTCTTCTTCTCTTCTCTATCTTTCTGTGAGTTTGTGCATAGACATGTGTGCGGTGAAATTGTGTGTTGCAGTTGAGCTTTTGAACGGTATTTACGGGGAATTATTACCAATAATTATTGATGAAAGAGAGTAAAAAAAGTAAGACTTTGGTAGTAAGCACAATTCATGTTGATTTACCGTCATTTTATTATTGAAACGGCCCAAGTGCCTGTGTTCCGCAGAGGCATTGACAGTCGGATTTCTACTTTTCAAATCAAAATTCAACGTTTCAACTGGACCCTGCGTCATTATCGTATGTGCAAACGGGTTGTACAAGCTTGAGAGTTGAGGCTTGAGGCAAGCACTGTGAAGCGCATCATTAGGCGGTTATGGCTATACATAATCAGAGTGTTTGGTATTCAAAGATTCACGCAATGCACTGCACCTTTCGAATCGGGAATTGCATTTTTTGACTCATGTGAAATAGCCACACCCGTTTAACACAGTCGACGCACACAGAACGTGTTTATTTCTCCTAGACGTATACCAGGTATAATGCTATATTCCTTCAAGTAATTTTTACAGGTCGAAGAGTTATGTAGTCGAATAAAAGGTGCACGGAATACTCGATGTAGTCAGAAACGCTGACCTACAGAACAGCTCGCGATGGTATCTATCATGAACGTATTTGGTCACATAATGTGTGACACTGTGACATTGACCGAAATATCACTAACGAGCGCCTTAACTGACTTGCTCTACAAACATAGATTCAAATAACTAGTGTGACATTTCACCAGTAAAATTAGTTACGCGTATGCTTGTTTAACGATTATCATATAAGGCATGTCGTGACCTTCTTACTGATTACTTAAAGTAAAATACGATTCGTGTTTGTGGAGTGAAACACCTTATTGTTAGTGTCGCCGATCGAGTGAAAGGAAAAAGAAATACCAACACTTATTACACGGGAACGCAACACGTTTTTGCCTTCACAACAATGAAACCATTGCGACCTAATTGCAATCCGCAGGCAATCGAGAATTGATATCATTGATTTGGGTTTATAAGAGAAACATCGTTACTAAGACCCATTTCTCTCACCATCACTTTCCAATTAAGTTATCGAGATCACACACACAGACTTTCAGACGATTGGTGTGAACGCATCTAGCCATTAGGGTTCGTACACCAGTCGGTAAATAGGTTTAAATTGCTAATCGCCTTGTCGCCGATCTGACGAAGACGAAACGACGCAACCATGACGAGTTAGCATCGAAATCTTTATCGACGTAGCACAGAGGGAACCTGCTTCTCTCACAGCAGGAAGAAGTTCACAGAAGAAGGGAACTGGGAATCTGTGAATCAGTGAAATCTTGAATCTGGGAACAAGTAAACAGGAAATCTGTTCACAGAGTGAACACGCTTTCTCTCTCTCTCTCTCTCTCTCTCTCTCTCTCTCTCTCTTCTCTCGCTCGTCTCGCGCTCTCTCCTTCTATCGCTCTGTATCGTTCTCTCTCTCTCTCTCTCTCCTTCGATCGCTCTTTATACTCGCCCTCGCTCTCTCTCTCTCGCGTTCTCTCTCTCTCTCTCTCTCTCTCGCTCTCTCTCTCTCTCTCTCGCTCGCTCTCGCTCTGCTTCAGGGCGCCCGCCGAACGAAGCTAGTACAGATTACGCGGATTTCTCTTTTGACTTGTCGAGTGGCCTGGTATTACCATGCCTGCGCTGAATTACAGTTCACGTCGGCACGCGCGCTTCCCCTATTATACATAGCGCCTCCCCAAGTCGCTGCTAAGCTGCGATCGTATGATACGCGACGTATCATATCATCACGCACATTCGATTATCAGACTTCTCCCCCCCTGTATATTACTGTTACGCGCGCCACAGCCAAACACTCTTATACGTTACCTACCTACACCTACCTTTACCACCTACCGACACCTACCTGTTACCGACCTACCTACACCTTACCTGTTACCTACCTACCTACACCTACCTGTACTACCTACCTACACCACCTACCTGTTACCTACCCTACCTACCCATCACCGACCTTCCTACCTATCCTACCGAAACGACCTACCCGAACTACCTATCCGACATACCTACCTACCACCTACCTACCTACCTGCCTGCTTACCTACCTACCTACCTACCTACCGACACCTACCTATCCTACCTACCTACCTACCACCTACCTACCTACTCTCCGCCTATCCTACTACCACTACCTAGCTCACCTACCTACCTACCTACCTGACCAAACCGACTACCTATTCTATCTACCTATTCCTACCTACCCACCCACCTACCTAATCGCGACCTACCGACCTACCTAACCCTACCTATCCTACCTACCTACCTATCGTACCTACCTACCTACCTACCTACCTACCTACCTACCTACCTACCACTACCTATGCTCTAGCCTACTATACCTACCTACCGACCTACCTTACCTTACCTGCCTTCCTTGCCTGCCTGCCTGCCTACCTATCCTACCTCCCCCGTCCCCATATCCTACCCTACCTACCGACCACCTACCTTGCCGCCTACCTACCTACCTACCTACTACCTACCTACCTACCTACCTACCTACCTACCTACCTACCCTACCTATCCTACCTACCTACCCTACCTACCTACCTACCTTACCTAATCTGACCTACTACCTACCTAATCTACCTACCTACTACTACTACCTACCTACCTAACCTACCTACCTACCTACCTACTATCTACCTACCTACCTACCTACCTACCTACCTACTTACCTACCTATCTACCTACCTACTACCTACCTACCTACTACCTATCCTACTTACCTACCAACACTACCTGCCTACCTATCCTACCTACTACCTACCTACCGACCCTACCTACCTACCTACCTACTACCTACCTACCTACCTACCCTATCCTACTTAGCCTACCTATCCTACCTACCTACCTAACCTATACGCTACCTACCTATCCTACTACACCTACATCCATCCTACCTACTACCTACCTACCTACCACCTATCCTTCCTACCTAACCTACCTAACCTACACCTACCTACCTACGCTACTCACCTTACTACCGACCTACCTACCTACCTACCTTACCTACCTACCCAACCTACCTATCCCTACCTACCTACCTAACCTACCTACCTACCTACCTACCTAACCTACTACCTACCTACCTACCTACCCTACCTACCGATCTACCTACTTCCTACACTACCTACCTACCTTATCTAGCCTACCTATTATCTGCTACCTACCTACCTACCTACCGACCTACCTAACCACCTACCTACCTACCTACCTATCCTAATCCTTACCTTACCTAACCCTACCTACCACCTACCTACCCTACCTACCTACCTACCTACCTACCTACCTACCTACCTACCTACCTACCTACCTACCTACCTACCTACCTACCTACCTACCTACCTACCTACATACCTACATACCTACCTATCTACCTACCTATCTACCTATCTACCTACCTATCTACCTACCTACCTACCTACCTATATAAACCTACCTACCTACACCTGCCTTTCCTACACCTACCTACCCGTTACCGGCCACACCACACCTACGTGTCCGCGCGCTACCCATTGTCGATGAAAATCGCTGAAGTTGTAACATGTGCACACGAATTCTCGCTTGCAGAGGAGGCCTATACAGAACACGATGGATTTGATGACGCCGAGAATGTTTGGGTCGTGCCACAACGTCGACTACAAGTCGCCCGTAGCCAACTATGCGACGGTGCGACCGCCACGTCGGAGAAGATCGACGCCTGTTAGTCAGCTGCCGCTCAGTCAGCAGCCGGTCTTCTTCTGGACGAGTCCCGCACTCGGTCCCTTCCATCCGGCCCAATTAGTCATACCAGGTAGGCTCGCAGCAGCGAGGTTTTCCAAACCCTGCTGTATCGCCACACATCACACGGATATAGAAATTAATTGCGAGCGTGATTTCTGTTGGAGCGTCATAATAGAACACCGAGTCCGTCAGATGAAGCACTAAAGCTAATTGCCCTTTACTTCCGTAATTTTGCGCGTGCGCTTTTAAATTGAACGTTCCGAAATGCGAGTTTTACTTGTCACTCTTTACTATCGCACCCCAAATCCGTTGAAGCAAGGATGAATCGGTCTAGTGATAACAACTCGTGATTCGATGGCGCGTAAAGCGATGGAATGCGCGCAGGATCCATTTGAATGAAAGAGACAATTGCTTTCGTAGTTGATTTGACGTTTAACGCCTCTAACAAAGCAGAAATAGCGATCGCATAGCGGAGGCAGGCTGTTTGATGTTGCGATAAAAGCAGCTGTGAGCACGCAAGAAACGAATTCTATACGACGAATAATTTTATGTGATGCGCAGACACCTTACAAGTCTGCGCATTGAACCATCAGAAGAGTGGCGTGAAATACATGAATGTGTGTTGTTATTGATTCGTAAGATTATCGCGTGTTCTCCATTACCAGATATTCGCAATTTGCTATTATGACATTGACGTTCCATGACATAAGCGATATTCGTTTGGCTAGCAACGCTAACAGCATCTAACGTGGCTTAGAAATACGTCACAAATGTACAACACTAAACAGTACATTGGTCGATTTTGAAGTAGTGGATAGTAGGAGAGCTTTGTGTACTATACTCACCCTGCGCTTCAGTAACGTAATATAATCGTGGCAGTAATTGCAACTAATGTTTCTAGACGCCCACAAGTGTGTACTATAAATACGGTTAATAATTGTTAATAATATAATATGTGCTCCGTGTGTACATGTAAGTATACCTAATTGTGCAGCCATTGAAAAAGGCAGAAAATCCATTTGTGGTCCTGAATTTAGATTAACATTTACTTTAAATTATAAAGTAGGCCTACGAGCTCTTAAGAGAGATAGCAGTGAACATTAGTCAAAGAGAGCCACGTGGGGAAGGAAGAAGTTTATACATGAAAAAAGTGTGGGAGTGGTCGCACTGCGCCGACTACTATAAACTGTTTACGTCTACTGATCATTTCTGCAGATGACGACGGCGACGACAACATGTCGAAGACATCGAAGGATTCTGGTAGTTTCTGCAGCATGAGCGACCTGCCGGGCTTCGGGTACGACCGCCGGCCCATCAACCCTGACTTCAAGACGGACACACTCCGATCGAAGGAGAGCGGCTACTCAGAATCGGAGCCCGACTTTGAATTGTGCAATAAGACGTTCTCGTACAGCGACTGCAGCGCGCTGAGCGACGGAGCTGTAGTGGTGCGCGGCGGCGGCGCGCGCGGACACGGTCGTGGTGAGCGGACAGAGCGCCGACGCGGCGGTGGCGGCGACGGTGGGGGCGTGCGGAGGAAGCAGAAGATGCCGTGTGCGGAGACGTGCGCGCACAGGTGCGTCGACGACGCGTCGTCCTCGTCGGCAGCGCGCTGTCAGACGACAACGTGTGGCGACTGCGAGTGCGTCACCTGCGACGCTGAGGCGGCGGTGGCTCCACTGACGCTGAAGACGAGCGGCGCGGAGGAAGAGGAGCCGACAGGCGAGCGATGCACGGCGTGCGGCTTCACGGTATGCGACGACCGCGTCTCACTCAAGGGCGCCATCTATCATGCCGTCTGCTTCAAGTGCTCGAGGTAAGTAGACGGACGTGCGCGCGTGCTAGCCGCGCTATAGCCGTGTGGTGTTAAATGGCCGAGTGCTTGTTTAAGAGGAGAGCGCGGCCTGGATAAGTCATCAGCCATTTACAGCCAGAATGTTAATACTGTTGTGTGATACAATTTTATGATCGGTATTCGGAATTGTTGATTTGGCAGATGCGTATAGGACTATCGGCTTTGCATCTCGTACACTTTATACATTTGTTTTAAAAGTGTAATGTTTATGCAAACGTATGAAAGGGGGTATACCGCGTCACCAACTATCGTTTAGGTCAATGCTCTGACTGAATGGCAAATTTAGATTTCAATTTTAATTTAATATTTGAATTAGATTTTATTAATTTGTATGCAGTTGCATATCTCGACAGGAATTGGGAATGGCTGGGATCTCGACTTATATTTTCAAAGACCAATCGATGCAGGCTATTGGAAGGGAATTAATGGCAAGACTGTGTCGCTTAGTGCTGTATAGCTCGGTGATGAAAAGTCTTATTTTTTAAATTCATCGTTGAGAGGGCATTGGAAGATTTAGGGTTTACATCGATTCTTAAAGGTAGATAGTTTTGAGGAAAAGGCTGGTGGTTTTAGCTGGGAACGAAAAGGTACGATGTATAAGGAATAAGTGTGCGCCATGAACGCATCGTTGCGAGCATTCGCGAGCATTTGTCGCTGCCGCATCAAAGATGTGGCATCGCCTGGTAATTAGCAATGAGGACACAGGCGTATCCTGCAAAGCTCCAGCCAAAATTACCAGGTGTCGCCGTCCTGGTGTCGTGCTCTCTCCTTGCCAGGCGACCATAACATAAAGTGGCTAAATTATTGCAGTTGTTTCTTGTAATTGTGGAACCGAACCACTACAAATCACTGCAAACTACTCGCGGTTAGCTTTTGTCCATTATTAGCTTGGCAGCAGACGCATAAGTAACGGGCTGCTTCTGCTGCTATTTAGTATCGTTGTTGACAGCGGTAATTGTCTCACGAGTCCTTTGACGGTTCTTTCGGGAAAGGGAACCTTTGATGTCCCGGTGCACATACTTGAATAGAAACGCGGCAACATTTCAGTGAGATGGCGGGGTGTGGTGGCGGTGATGAGCGGTACAATTTGACCCCGCGGCATGCTATTTATTCTTTTTCTGGCGAGAGAAGCCTATTTTAGACCTATAGGTGACCGAAACCTGGAGGGACGTTCCTCTTTGCATTCGTTAGCGTCTGCGACAGAATTCAGCTCCTACGGATGGCATTTACCCTGTCGCTCTAACATCGCGTGTTCTATGATTAACCTCAATGGGTGTGAACGCGTACGCAGTTTAGATGATCCTACCGACATTATATACACTGCCAGTCGCCAAACGCAATAGCTTTTCAAACTATTGCACGCCATAAATAAGCCAATTCCCAGTCGATGATCGCACCAATTCATTGCCAAGGCCAATTTCCGACGGCTACAGCTTTGGAAGCCGCCAAATGGTAAGCTGTCGGTGACTATATATCTAGACATTTGGGACTCGGTGATATCAGTGCTGTAATTTACTGGTGTGCTATAAATTAATGACTACAGACCGCTGTGATGTTTCCCAGGCGGCCATTACAGCTAGACGTTGCAGGATAGGATAATTATAGATTAGTGTTTATGGTAGGATCAAGAGCTAATAATAGGACGTACGTAGGTGCACAACATAAGGGCATGGATTTACGTATATACTTCTATTCATAAGTTCATGATAACTGTAGCTTACAATAACAAGATAAACAATTTCACTGTGAAACGAAATCGCCTGTGTATAGCGCAGTCATGTACTCCTTAACATGTTCATATAGTACTGATGTGATTTATTATAAATATCACTCAATGCTAAAACTGCAAATTGCTCAAGGGCACATTTTTTGTCGTCTGTTCCATTTTTTGATAAATCTGTACCGCATGTTTGTTGTAGCGAGTAGCGAGTAACGAGAGCATTACGGCATCTATATTTTGGATGCTCCAGTTATAATCGGCGGTTTTCATGAAGTCTTTCAACAAGATACAACGTAAACGAAAAGCTAATTTAAATGTAAATATGCGGTATTTTTGAACACTGACATGTGACTGCGTGAAATTCAACAATCGGATTTAATCTTTCTGTTGCCTTCACAAGCGAGGCAGCGTAGCATGCACGTCGTATCAAATGACACGTGAGCGTTATGGAAATGGACGTATAGAGTATTGCCTTAAACGAACATACACCCGTTACGGCAAATTATTAGTATCAAGCTCAAGTCGAATCAAGTACTCCCGTGTGTTCGAATCCGTGTTCGATATAGTGAGCATTGCATGTGGAGTGTTGAGATGGGACTGCCAACCTAATGGAAAGCTACAGACACTGCATGACAAGCATCACGTTGTGCTCGCGCAAGGTATGTGTTTCACATGATACCAACGTCGCCAATCACGGGTCGTGGCCTGCAGTGGTCAACGACTCGAATTAAGTGAAAGACGGCCGGATAAAATTGATTCCCGGGCAGATAAACGATTGAAAATAGCGGCCGATACATAATACATCTCTAGGCGATCTATAGCGAGTGATTTGCACTCGGTATCTCTAACGAGGGCACTGAGACATGAAACGAAGAATGACGACCTGCTTACTACGTAAACAAGTTTTTTATAGGCGCAGTAAATGCTTTGCAATTATATATGGGTCTTCTTGATAACAGGAGATTGCACGAAGGCATCTATAACTGTGAATGCCCTCGAATTTTAATTGGTAATTCCCATTTCATGAATGGTCACCGATCGAGTTTTAATAAAATCGATATAATCATATCAGGAGTAAATAATAATAGATTATTTATATTATTATTCACTCCTGATCATATGTAGGGCCATTGTGGACGCCTAGCAATTTCACTTGGTAATGTATATTGTGCGATCCTCCGAACCAGCTTCAGACATTATTATTACGTGAAGTAGGGCCTAATGCCACATGAATAAATGAAAAACGCCATTCTTCTTACATCGAGACTCTTCAGTCTCCTCGGTATACATACGCAATATATACTGTTAACTCCGAGCCGTGGCTGTGATGTCACCAAAGCTAGACCATTGACGTTACCGGCCCAACCAGGCTTGTATTGGGGACACTGCTTTGAGATCGCTACGAGGTACATGTCCTACATGTGCTACCATCTAGTGGTTGTGAGCGAATACAAGCGTTTGTGACACGCATACGTGCACACATATATACAAAAAAAACCACGCACGCACGGGCCTTCAAACACAATATATGTACGCATTACATACTTTATGATATCGCGCATGAATAACTAAGTGAGCTATATTTTTAAACAATTATGTAGAACTGTGGACCTTACTCGTGCATATTATCGTCTTTGATATAAATAATTTATGATATTTAATTTCAATCAATTCAAGTATATTAAAGTAGCATTTGCATGAATTTTCATATAATTAAGTGAATGTGACGCAAATTATTCTCCTGGGACGTTAACGTAGTCTATCAAATTTATAAAAAAAAGCAATTAAATAGATTTGCTTATAGAAATTAGATTACACTTGAGGAACTTTTATGTATTCACTTATGAGCGGTATTAAGTAGCTAAGCGGTATTAGCTGGTAGCGCTATTGTACGGGCCTGTCTATATATGTGTGCAGCAGGTAGTGCGATGAGTCACCTGCACGTACACACGTGACATATGTCGCACGCACAGGCACGCACGCACGCATGCATGCACGCACGCACGCACGCTCACATGCGGGCGTCAACGCGTATGGTTGTTTGTTTAACAATTTGATCGAAGTCACGAGAAGCTCTTGTCGTCAAACTAATACAGCGCACACGTTGACCCAGTGTCAGTTGCGATTTCCTCACGTCTGCCGATGGACTCGGTTCATGGATGACTTCACATCGCTAAGTAATGACGCTTTGGTGCGGGATATGTTGGCGAATGCATATCTACGCGGAAAATATAGATTCCCCAGCTTTCATGCTGTTACTGTGGCATGGACCTAATCTGATGTTTGTCGTTGATGAATTCCACACATCTGAGCTCATTCTGAGAATTGCTACGACAGTTTACTGTGAGAACATGCAGTCAATAGTTCCTATAACAAATAGATTGCTACCTTTTTCGATAATCACTGTTGACATGTGCCTTGATGAAGTAGGAAATCTCGACAGCAACAAAAGCATTTTCGCAAACTAGGTTATGGTCAGACCCCAAGTCTGCCATTTTCACTACTAAAAGTAGTGATTATTTCTGCACTGGTTGGTCGCTAACGACTAGTGTACGATAGTTGTTAGCATGGTTCCTGGTTAGGTGAATGGCTCTGCATGCCATTGCTCGCCGTGACTGTGTTTGGACAGCAGGCTCACACAAGACCTTGCTAGTGGAATACGTTCGTCTTTTTCGGTGCATTAAGCTACGGGAGGCCCACATGTCGGTGTAAATAGCGGCACAGCTATAGTTACTATAGCCGAGCAAACCTTCGCTAGTCCTTTGGAGCAAAAGGCAGAGCTGAAATGTTCTCGTGATGGCTCTTTACGTCTGCATAATAAGCTTTATTTCCTTCAACTTAGTCAAAGATTTCGGCAGACATCTTTTATGGCCGAGTGCTGTTTACTGTGAGCTTATGTCAAGTGTGCCGATGATATCGCTAGTGCAATACAGTAGCGGATAAGGTTTTACTACATGTTGTACTTCCTGATAATGCCTGCCACTTTAACATGTATAGAGACATTATCATATGTCATAGAAGCGGATTGGCTAGCTAATGCGATATATGCGGTGGTGCAGACGGTGGCGTTCATTGTGAGTGATTCAGATCCAAGTGGAGGTATAATCAGTGCTTTCGCGAGTGTGATATTACCCAATAAAGCAAAGGGTTCGCATTCGCTATACGTTCTATAGGCCACACTCCCTCAGTGTTCCAAGTTAACGTGTTTTGGCGCCAAGTGACACGTCCCCTTGTTCATCGCTGAAAATGGACTTATCTGATGCCTGCAGTAAAACGCGCGTACCAGCTCTGTTCGAACAAGGCTTAACGATAGCATCCAAAATGGAAGATTCGGAGACGTCTAGTGAAGATACCAAAGGCGGCAACGAACTAGTTAATAGCAACGATCCAGCTCAACCCGAAGGAACAACACTTAGAGATATAGCTGACAAGGACAAAGCAGGATCTCAAAGCCACGATAGGAACGAGCAAACGGTAGGGACGTTACTTCTAACAGCTAACCCACACGTGCCTGCGAACTACGTCCACGATAAACTTGTCAACGACTGTGTCGATGACAATGACACGAGCATTTCGGAGAGTGAAGGCGAGGAGTGCTCTCAAGGGCCACGATCCGGGGATCGTATATCATCTAAGGCGAAATTCGAGAAGAAGAGCAAGGTCGGGCGGAATCGGCTGAAGCCATTCATTAATCTCGTCAAAACATCGCCGATGTTAAAACGGAGGTTTGGCAAGGAGGTATCGCTGGGAGCGACATCGTTACCGAAGAGCGACGTCGTTCATCAGACCCACGTTAGGCAGAAAGCAGCAGCTGCCACGCGCGAGTTCTCCAGCATGGCTGAGCTTCTGAGCGTCAGCAGCGTCGTCGTCGAAGCGATCGCGAAGTCGGATTACATGCAATGTGCTGGTATGTCGCCAATTTGCTACAGCGATAAACTGCCTGCTGCGAAGCTCGGGGCGAGATGCCGCGGGCTGGCCGAGGTCGCAAAGCACAACAGTACGGTGCAGACGGTGTTCGACAAATTGCGCCTCCAACGGAAAACACAAGACAAAAAAGGTGGCGGAGTATCGAGCAGGAAGAAACTTCAGATGATTTCCGATAAAGAGCAGAAACGTAAGGCGGATGTAGATGTTAGAGATGAGCTGCTCGAATGCATCTCCTCCTTAGATCCCGGGTGGGAATCGGTGTCACTCTCAAGCGGTAGTCAGTCGGACAGCTTAGAAAACTGTAAGGATATTTCGGCAAGGAAGAAGTCGCCGGTTTATGATGACGCAGGAATATCAATGTTTGGAAGCCTAACATCGAATGCAGTGTATGTCATGTGTGCGAAGGAACAGGACTCAAGCAGGTGTGTGATGGCGCGCGTGTGTCATACATTTTGTCATCACTCCTCGCTCATTGCTATCCAAAATGTCGCGTTGCGGATCTGTTCATGGCGTTACTCTCTCACAAGTTTTTACTTATATGATATATTATTTTTTTGCAGTGATAATTTCGACTGCATTTTCTACATTTTTTGCGTAATTCATAGCCGCACAGTTTTGACGCACGAATCAATATATCCAGTGGCGTGACATTGCGTTGTAATTTTTATCGCTGCCACGTCAACACGTGTGTTATTTGCGTTCCATTCTCAATAATGGCAGGCATTAATCCTGCCATGTCATAACTCTATTCCCAGCTCCGTAAATGCGCAAAAAGCATTCGTTTGCGATCATGTGTCTTTTCCCATATATGCAAATGATAATAGCAGTGGCAAGATAATAATACATGCGTACATAAACATTTTTGTGGATTTTCATGGTTGACAGCTTTGACGTGCATCAGTCGCATTTATTCATCTTTTTTTTTAAATTATTTCTAGGTGTGAAGCCGCACTGTCATTGAAGACCTACCGGTAAGTCTGCTTTGACGAAATGAATGGTCCAATTATGAAAATGCTGCGAATCTTGTGTGTAAATAAGGTTAACGAAGAAGCTTATTGTTGCGCTACCAGTACCTCTCTAGACTGTCACCGCTGTCATTTCCCTGGTCACGCGCCGTTCAAATAAAAACGTATAATATGATAAGCATATTATAATATGCGATGATACAATCAGTTTAGCGAAAACTGCCAAATGCGACACATCCGAGGCTGAATACCACGTGACTGAGTGACTAGATTCAACCACCACAACAACATTCTACGTTTTACTCTGTCGTTATTGTTACACAAATACCGGTGCAGCCTAATGTAATTACTATGGCTTTCATGAGAGGATTTCCCAGGGCTTCAACTCCAATTAATCTAATGAATGATTAGTAATTGGCAATTTCGTTTGTACAGATCTTTATTCCGCTGCAGTTATTTCAGTATTTCGCCCGGGTTATTTCCTAGGATAATAGACCAATACGATTTCCATTAGTTACAACACTCAACGTTTTAGTTAGTAAAAATCGGTCACCGGTGAATTTTCTGAAATTATCTCAGTCATGTGTAAACCGTCAACTTCCCTCAGTCAAAGCATTTTCGTTCTCAGTCTGCGACATTTTAATATTATCCATAAAATCTATATAGTTTTAGCAGTTAATCAATAGGCATGCATTATGTGCATATTAGTTGACTCCTGATGATATCGATTCAGAAGTATCATAATATAATATGTATAATATTATCATGTTAATATTTTTATTCCTATTATAGACACGCATACGCGCGCGCGCACCGACACATGCACACACACATGCACGCGCACACACACACGAGCGCGCACGCACGCACACACGCACGCACACGCACACGTACACGCGCGCACATGCACCGTCACCAGCACACACACACACCACACACGACACACCACAACACACACACACACACACACACACACACACACAAACACACCCAACACACACACGACACACGACACGACATGCACGCCAAGCACACACACACGGCACACACACGCACACAACACGCACGCACACACACACTGTATGCACATGTCTGTTGTATGTCACTAAACTGAGGCTGTATATTGGCTGTTAGGTAAAAAAAAATTTTTATTAAATTTATATAGCAGCTCTGTGATATGACTCCTGACAGTTTACCATTTCATAGCAGATCACTCGTACGTGCTGCCATCTACTGGCCAGCAAATACATGGAGATGGAAAAAAGTGTTTTGTGTGCGTGACCGTGTTTAAGAGTATGTACGCACAATAGATGCACGTGTACGCTCACAAGGTACACGCTCTGCTCTACCTCGCCTACCTACCTACCATACTATGTATCTATACTATATATATGATATATATATATATAACTACTTGTGAAGATTTGTATTCTCACATGACATTTTGTTTGCATGTCTGTTACTGATGTGATTTATATTTAGAGAAGGTGATAGACAGATAATATTCATCTTGGCAGCCAAATCCAAAATATTTGAACATCTGCCCTTTATATGGGACGATTGTTTGACATTAATAAAGGTGAATCTGACTTCTGTCTGTTTTATACATTAGTGCAAATGACACACATACGTGCACACGCCCCTAACACATCAAGTAATCAGTTTTATTATGATACTTTCTTATCATGATCTTTCCTACCTCAGATATCCGTCGTATAGCTAATCAGAACAGAAGTACATGCCAATGGGAACATGCGGTACAACATCACACAACACACAGCACAAACACACACACACCCACACAAGCACACAACACACACACGACGCAGGCCCACACACACACACACACACCACACACACACACACACACATACTATATATATATATATATATATATATATATATATATATATATATACGTGGTGCTGTGACGGACATATTGTCAATTCTCTTAACTAATCATTGTCGGGTTTTTCGTTACTTGATCTCTAACTTGATTGTCATTATATTATTTAAATATGAACATATTTCACTCACACATTTCATGTCCGTGATATTTGCTGTACATTGCTCTTAGATACACTGCTCTATTTTTATTTAGTACGCTAGATTTCGCTATAGTGTAAAATTCAATCTTCTGGTTTGACAAAAATTAACACATAGTTGGTTTACTTGATTAAAAATATTTTGACGCCTGTAAAAGGCATAACACAATAAATTACAATGTAGCACTGCACCTATGTAGCGCTGCATCTATGACAGTACTGAATGATAAGTGGAGAAAGCTATTTGCTGGTCAATGTTCGTTATTATCGTTATTCACCAGGGGGCGCCACCTACCTGAACGTACCGCCTTGGCGGGCACACTCTATAACAACCACCGATACTCACCGTACCCATAATGCTCTAAAGGACGAAAATCCCTCTAGGAAATGTCTATATTCAGGCCGGTACGGGAGATTACGGTACGCATATATTTGCTAATATATTGACTAATCGCGCGTCAATAAACTCAATATTCACAGAGAGTATAGCTAAGACATGTGTCTATAGGTATCTAGAATTTTAGAAATTTAATCATCTGTAATTCACTTCCGCGCGCATATATTTGCTATATTGACTAATCGTGCGTCAATAAACTCAATATTAACAGAGAGTATATGAATTCAAGCCGGTACGGGAGATCATTTGCATAATATATTCTAGATACCTATAGACACATGTCTTAGCTATACTCTCTGTGAATATTGAGTTTATTGACGCGCGATTAGTCAATATATTAGCAAATATATGCGTACCGTAATCTCCCGTACCGGCCTGAATATAGACACTCCCAATGCTAAAAGTAAGCTGCAAGTGGAAATCTCCGTCCACATACAAATGCTCATGTACATCCTGCGCATGCGCATGTGCATCATGATCATGCGCATGCTACATCAGTCTCGATTCATAATCAATCCGAGAATCATCCGAGAATCATTGAATCCGATGTCATAAACGATAGCCAAACCGCATGAACAGTGTGTCCTGTTACAGTCAGTCCAACATGACTGCCCACAATGTGAAAAAATATCCAAAGTTCATAATATAGTACTGTTCATTCATTCATCATTCGCTCATTCATCATACTGCAGAAATTTCACCTTTGAATCCTCAGAATTGTTCCTCCTGCCTTGTACCGGTGATTGTTATATAGTGACCACCACCTGGTCGGTGCTGCACACCCCCTATACGTACCAGCAAGTACCAGTACACGATTTCCTACAATGTTCCTCCATACACAGCAACGGTCAAGCACGTCCGTTAAAGTGATTACGTCACCGCAAATAGTAAAAATAAAAAAAATTATGTCCACTTTTCCACAAAATGTAAATGATTCTGTTCACTTTTTATGGTTAAATTGCTGCATTTACTTCCTATTTTGCTATTCCGTTCGATGTGAGCAAACGCTCGTGACTCATACATACCTCATAGCAAGCATTTCATGTTGTGATCAATGCATCAAATCGCCCAGGTTTTTTTTGGATTTTTAACTAGTTGAGAAACAATCTTATCATGTAAGAATTTGAGGATACATTAGAGTCCCGTTAGTACTTACATTTAATGTAAAAAATTGCAACAAATATTTTACAAATATATATATATATATACGGTAGAAAATTCGTGACGTAAACAATTTAATGTTAGTTATGCTGAGACGGTCTATGTCCCCCAGGGTACTGCCGGAACGTACCCTAGCTGGTACTATCTAATATGCCAAACCGTACCTCGCCTACTTCACTAACGAGTTTAGGGAGTCGCCTACGCCTACTCCCTAACCCTAACCCTAACCCTAACCCTAACCCTAACCCTAACCCTAACCATATCAGATAGTTACCAGGGTACGTTCCGGCAGTACACTGGGGGACATAGACCCTATGAGCGTTAGGCATCTCTATTATGTTCGAATGCATGATCGGATATTTAACTACCAGCACAGCATACCTACGTTGAAATAAGCACGTAGCTTACTCGCCAGCGTCTGTTTGAGTCTCAATTCTTTATAACATGCTATTATTTTATTGAAAAATTCTTGAATAGTTGCTATGCAGAGTTTAGGTTCTAAAAGCAGTAATTCCACGGAAGATCCAAATACGTAATATGTGGGTGTTATATAACACCAGAAGACTGATAACACCCACATATTACCAGGAGTGTATTGATACACTCCTGATATTACGTATTCGGATCGTCTGTGGAATTACTGTTTTTAAAACTTAAACTCTGAATAGCAACTATTCAAGAATTTTTTACATGATAAATGCATGGCTCGAGTTTTGCAATGTTTGGTGAGATAATGATTGCACGCATGTCTATAAGCAGATTTGCAAAAACTCAGAAAGAAACGAATTTGAATGTATTTTACACGAAATCGGTGCAGCCTTATGAAACGAAAAAAAATCTGTACGGCCAACGTGCAAATCTGGCGAACACGCGTGTTAGTAGTAAAATATGCGGCGGGAAACTAATAAACTAAATACCAATCCCGGTACAAGGTGTAGAAGAAGTAGGCCACGTATCACCAGACCTTAATCTGTTTTTGCACACGCTATTCTGCCTACATTTCGCGCAGAAAATCCTGAGAGGTATATTCTGTTTTCCGAGACACGCAAGTTTAGAAGCGTGTAGAAAGAGCATTTTGTGAATGACCATGAACTGTGATCACGTGAATGGTGGTACATAGGTTCACACATATAACCATTTCGTGTATTCGCTTCGCTGATTCGATCGTTAGTGCGGTGTGTAGCTGTGCCCTACGTCCAGCATGGTGACTGTGTCATTTGGCAAAGGTTATTCGCTGTAGTAGAAATGATGACCGGTATATATCTATTCGTAAAAAATAGATGTTAGATGTGGAAATAGTGTTATCTATAGTGACTTGGTTTTATAGTACCTTATCTGATTTTAGCGTATCTGCAAATAATTATAATAATATCCGTGAGATAATCCCAGAGAGTCACGGTCTT